GCCCCCCCCCCCCCCAACTATTCAATAAACTTAGTCCCAGGACCAACATAAGGTAAAAATATCCTGTAGGAGTTAAAGATCTTCATTTACATTTAAGTTTAACTGTGACGTTAGAACGGTGTGGTTTTAGAGCATCATCAGACACTTTTACATACAAAAGGAGTTTTACAACATAAGGAAGCCTTTGAGATACGGTATTTGTCCTCTTGAAAATTATACTGACTTTGATATTAAAGGTTTCCAAAGGGGTAGCTAACATTGAGACAAAGAGTGCCGCTAAACTCGCTGGTTGCGTGGTTCTCGTTCTTCCCAACCCAACAGAACCTTGGACAGCAATTCGTTATAAAGGTTTGGGGTTCTGCCTGTCTGCCCTTAGTCTGAACGCCAAACAAAATGGGTTCAGGTTTGGTCTGGCAGAAGAGACTAGCAAAAGAAATATTAAATTTGAAAATAGGCTGGGAGTTGACAATAGGAGTCGAAGAGAGAGAGAGAGAAAAAACCCCGCAATGCATCCTCATTGTGGGGGGGAGAGAGTTGGGGAGTGGCTTGGGATGTTGCTGACTGCCCCCTCCCTCCTCTTTCCTGGTCACATGACCCAAAGCAGAGCTCACACATACAGTGGCAACACACACATGGACTCCCACACCCATGCCCTGAACAGACCTGAGACTCCGTCAGGCCCAGAACTGTTCAGCGTTAGGTATCCCAGTGGGGTTGGAATTGGATGGAAGCAGGAAGCTCACGGACTTGAGAGGTTGCCTTCTTCCCCATCGCTTTGCAGTGGCCAGTCTTCAGGCCTGCCTGCTGCTGAATCCAGCCACTGATAACCCAATGCACCCCAAACCTCTCCCTTTTAAAACCATCTAGATTGAGGGCCAACATCACATCTCCCAGCAGAAAATTCTATACTTTACCAAATGTCTGTCCGTCCTTCCTCCCTCCCTTCCTTCCTTCCCTCCTTCCTCCTCCTCTTCCCCTCCCTCCCTTCCTTCCCTCCTTCCTCCTCCCCTCCCTCCCTCCCTCCCTTCCCTTCTTCCTCCTCCCCTTCCTTCCTTCCTTCCTTCCTTCCTTCCTTCCTTCCTCCTCCTCCCCTCCCTCCCTTCCCTCCTTCTTCCTCCTCCTCCCCTTCCTTCCTTCCTTCTTTCCTCCTCCTCTTCCCCTTCCTTCCTTCCTTCCTCCTCCTCCCCT